TAATGAGGAATCATGAAAATGCCTATAACTTTGTCACTTATTTCCTTATCTGAATGAAAACAGCAGAGATGGTAGCTGCTTGTGAGGGCACAAAGCCTGTCAAGTTTCAAGGAGATAGGTGCAGGGGTTTCTGGGAAACTGCATCTCAAACTGTTCAGAACAAAACTCACGTCACTAGTAAGCATGAAGGCACAGGGGGGTGAAAACATCAGGCACGGTAGCCCCTGACGAGGCCATAAAGTCTGCCTTGTTCCAAGGAGATAGGTGCAGAGGTTTCTGGGAAACTGTACCTCAAGGTGCTGACAAGCAAAACGCATGATATGTGTAATTTCTTATGCTGTTTTTCTGTCCCACCCCCAGGACACTGGGATTGGAAGGGACCTCAGGGAAGGATCACAGTCACTGGCCAGCTACACATGTCAATGTCAGAGTAGTCCTTCCCCCTTCTTCCCCCTCCCTCTCCTTAGTTTCTGTTTAGCTGCAAGCAAGCCTAGCTTTGAAACTCTAAACATTTTGAAACTTTCAAAACATTTTGAGTGCCCTCATTTCATTTTTAAGCTCTTTCAAAGCCTTTTGTTTTGATTCAAAATGAAACACCACAGGTGTTAATGATATAAAAGAGAGTTTTCATTATTTTATCTGTCCCCTGGGGACACTTTTAAGATTATTTTGTAAAGTACATCTTTCAGTCTTTTTTTCTACTCTAGATTCAAATATTGTAACATTGTCTTAATTAATGATCTAGTGATTTATTATACATATGAATAAGTCACAAAATTATAGATAAACAAAAGCCAATGACTAACAGGCATTAGAAGGAGGAGAGGGTTTGCCTATCTTTTAGCCCCAACAGCTGAGTAGTTAGTGCATTCACCCAAGAGGTTGAAGACCTTGTTTTAGGCCCTGCTGACTGAAAAGAGTTTGAATCTGTATCTCTCCAACTTCTCAGCATGGTGCCCTTCTACTATACCACAATTTAGGCATTATCCAATACCCTCCAATGAAGCTGGCTTCCTGGGCAACTGAAAGAAGGAAATATCCAAGTCAGGAGAAATGAAACAATCTGGGGAGGAGGGGTGCCAGCAAGTCTTTAGGGGGAGGTCAGGGGTTGCCTGGTGTGGAGGGAGGGCTAGTCAAGGAGCTAAAAATAGCTTGGTCAGGTTTGGGGTGTAGAAATAGCACAGGCCCAGAGCTCTGAAGAGTGGCTGGGCTTTCCCAGTCCTAGGGCTGTGCTAGGAATTCATGCGAACATTCGTCAGGTTGGGTTAACCCATTTTAGGTTAGGTTAACTCATGTTGATCTAAAATTCATTCTCATCTGAAGAGAACTAACTTTAGATCAAGTATACCATTTTTAGGAAAGTGTAAGTTCTGCCAATGCTTGTACACCCAGACATTTAGATCATTCCAAGCTTGGTCAGAACAATCTAAATGTCACACTTGTATACATCCTTTGTGGTTCAGTGAAATGCATGCTGCTGTAAAAGGGAGAAGGTACTGGGTTCAAGTCTAGAGACGTGCACCCAAAAAAGCAGAAATTTCTGCACTGCTCTCCATCCAATGATAATTAAATGCAAGGTGCAACATCTAATCTTCTAAATGAGTGCAGGAGAGGGTATTAGATAATACCTAATATGTGGCCTGATAGTTAGAACCCTCTACTAGGAGACTAGGTTGAAATCCTCTTTGGGTGAGGAGCCCCTAGAACCTGGATGTTCTGCTTCTTAAATGGGTGCACCAGCTACTCAGCTATTGGGACTAAAATATGGGTGATCACTCCCCCTCCTAATTCTTTTTGGAACTATTTCACATGACACCAAATAAATTGTTTTGTTTCTCTTGCTTTTCCTTTCCTTTTCTTTTCTTTTTTTTTTTTTGTTTCTAATAATTTGGTTCACATTTTAGAATGGAACAGCATTTTAACATGAAAAACGATTTAGTGAAACATTTGGACTTTTTCAGGTGTTTTCAATTTGTTTTGGCTGCAATTATTCACTGGAATTGGTACAAGTGTTCCAATAATTTAGTCCTCCTTAATCAACCATGTTCAGCAAATAAAATAATTGGCTGATAATTTTTGTAACTATAGCTAGTAAAGTCCATGTATTTTTACCCCCATCCTGTAACAGAGATATGAGCTTTTTTGTAATCCTGGGCCATGCCATGTGAATGAAGCCGGAAAAAGAAGGTTAGTCTTTCCTCTTTTCATGTGTGCGCAACAGCCTAATTGCAAGATCTTTCAGGGGAAAGAATCAGCTCTGCTGGAAAAGGGTAAGAACGTGGCAATTTTCAAAGGAAAGTGAGAGAGTAGCTATCAGGCACACATGGCCATAGATTACTCCCTATGAAAGGGATTGTGTGTTTCTGGCACTTACACTCCCACTCCTTGAGCCCTTTCTTGGGTGCTGTTGGTAGTGGAAAGGCCCTTGCCTAGATGTGATTTTATTCACATGTAGAGTATTGGCATTAAAATCCAATCATTAAAAATGTACAACAGTGAACAAAGATTGATTTTTTTTAGACAGGAAAGGAAAAAGGAATATACATACTATGTTCTGCTTTGAATTTAGCAACACATTTTGCAAGAAGCAGGAAAGACCTTTTTAAATCATTACCTCTGGCTGTTTTTTGGCATTAGGAAAAAAAAAGTTATGTTCCTTAGAAAAAAACAGATATAGAATTTCATAGAATAGTCAATTATTGTAACTATTATATTTTCAGAAAATTCTGCTACTGGAAAATATGTGAATTTTTTTTGTCTGAATACTAAAACTCCTGACCCTTCTCAAGGGTGACCTTACAATTCAATATTCAATCTCAATACCATGGTTTGCATCTTGGCCTGTTTGGTCCTCAGGAGGGCTGAGATAGTTGAGTAATGGTAAAGCAGGGTAGCTTTTTTCCCTAAGAAGTACTACACTGAGAAGTATAGGATCATATGTTAAGTCCTTCAGCAAGGTGTGAAAAGATGGGATAGAGGAATGACCAAAATCTTGGCTGTAGACCAGCTGCAGGAAACGTGTATATTAACTGTTGGAGTTATTCTGGGATGAATGGGGTGTGTCCATCATCGGCCTTGGAAACATAAACATAAAACCACATTTACTTTCTCTACCACCTAAACTATGTGGCTTCTTAGGAGACATGGCACTGTATCCAGTCCAAATATTTTTAGTTAGAGCTTTACAGCATAGTCTTGGAGAAGGTTCAGGGCCAGATTTCCACAACAATGGAATCCTTGAATTATGAAGATTGCTATCCTAAATACATCAAAATAATTGATACATTGTGCAAACAGGTGGTTATATAAAGTCTTAAATATGCCTCTACACAAGCATGGTCTTGAGAATCTGGCCTGACAACGTCCACATTTTACAGGACACATCAGAGTTTGTAAAAGTTCTAACTGAAATTCCAAGGCAAATCATATTGTAAGTATACTGATCAGCATTCCCAATTCTTGACAAGAAAGGAATGCCTCTACATTCAATATATCTTAACAAATCTGGGCATTGATTCTCTTTTCTTTATGACATGTGATTCTTCTCCCAGTATCAGCTCCTGACCCCGATGTGCTTTTTAACTGTGGATAAGCAAATTGATATGAAACTGCACATACCCCATAACCAAAACCATTTTTCCTTTAATGAGCAAACAGAATTAAACTGCTAGCTGCAGATGAACCATCTTAGTAAAGGATTCTCTGGATCAAAAACACTCCAAAAAACAACACACACACACACACATACGCACAAGTTTAGCTTTAGTTTAATTTTAAAAGCATGGAACCCTTTGGTATTACTGGCCAGTTTCTGGAACACTTTGCTTTAAGGATTACATATAACTGGGGAGGGGACAAGAGGGTAAGCAGGGTATGAGCCTTGGGTGCCACCTTAAACAAGGTGCCATTATAACCCCCTTCACCCAGTTGCCTTTTCCTCAGCAAGCACAGTCCTGTGCAGCCCAGCAACAGGAACCAGACAGTCACAGCTTCAGTCCCAGTAGTGGATCTCGGGCAGAGCGAAGTGGAATGATGCCCCCTCCTCCAGGGAGGCTTTGCAATGGGAGGCACAACCCTGCCCTAGGTGATGTGGGGGCAAACAGTACACCAAGAATGCCCCCTGGGTACTCCAAACCACTGTCTGTCCCTCAGGCTGCATCCAGTCAAGTGCAGTTGTGCAGGATGTGGTGCCACAAACATATGTGCAACACCATATACTGCACATTCAGCTGTTCTCCTTGCTGTAAGAGGTGGGGTTGACCCTGAGAGATTCCATGGTCAAAAACACCTGTGCAAAAAAAAAAGCCAGAGCAGTGCATGCAGGGGCAGTGAACACTGGCCAAAACTGGAGCCTAGCTGAACGGACAAGCTCCAGCTGCCAGCCAGGCTTTGAGCAGCAGGGTCATTGTTGCTGCAGCCCCAGGAGGCCCCCAGCACCCTCCCCAGGATCCCAGGTAAGACTGCTGGGGCCAGCCCAGTGCTGGCCCTAGCCTCCCCTATCCCATCCAGGGTAACCTGCTGTACACTAGAGGGCACATGGCACAGGTGCTCCCTGGGGACAAGTAGCAGCGGCACAAGGTGTGCCACTGCTTCTTGTCCCTGGGGAAATAAATGTCCATGCTTGTTTGGATGCAGCCTCAATGTCAGCCCATGCTGCTACAGCAGTAGTTTTAGCAGTAGCAGCTGTTGCACAAGGGTGGAGAGCCAAAACGGGTAAGGTTTTTCCCTCTTCCCTCCTTTTCCTCTCCCTCACCACCCCCTGAACCCTGTCCACTCACCAGTGATCAGCATAATTCCCTTTTCTGCAGGGGCTGAAAGAATTAGCTATATCTTTTCAAATAACAATTATTCTGGACTATTTGTCATGAGCTGGCTTTGATTGAATTCAGATTTGGGTGTTCTGAGTTACACAGTATAGCCTGGTTCAAAGCAGTAGGGTAAGAGTGTATAACATCTAAATGCACAAACAAATGAGTCTAGCATTGTGAATATCTACTTACAAGATCACAGTAGCACCCAGAAACCCCAAATAGTATTGAGGTCCTGTGGTGCTAGATGTTGTGCAACCTTCCAGGCAGAGGCTGTCCTTTCTTACAGTCTAAATAAAAAGGAAAGATGACAGAGTAAAGTGAAGAATAAGTGTGAGAAGAAAAATCAACTCAAGCTTGCAAATATTAACATGTATTTTGGAGGTGGCATAGGGTTAATCTTGTTGTTGCTGTTTGTTTGCCTGACATGTATCAGTGAAGAAGAATTTTTCCTAGGCCTTAATGGATGGTCATGTCTACTCCGGTGTAGTAGTTGTGGCACATAGATAGGTGTTAGCTGGACATTCTAGAAAAGCAAAAGTAATTGGGAATAGAACTTAAAACTAATGAAAGGTTTTGCAGAGGGAGTTGAAATACAGAAGGTTATTTTGGAGGACCATAGCTACCAATTTAAGAATAACAACATATAATTTGAGAACTTCCCTAAGCTTTACTTGAACACCAACAAAATTCAATCATTTTAAGAAATGTGAACATACTTTATATTCTTTTTTTATTTTATTCAATATAATTCAATTTTTTGGCCTCTGCTGTTTTTATCAGTGTCTTGGCAGTACCTATAAAGTACTAAAAACACATAATATAAACACTTTTTGGAATTCCAGCCTCATAGTCAAGAACTCAATACATACAGAATCTTAACAGCATTGCAATTTCCCAGTCATTTTGTTTAGAGATTTAACTCCTGTGAATGCCCCATCCTTTTTTTTTTCAGATTCACTTAATAGTCAAGGTAAATTAATCCTATACTAATACCAAATCTAATTAATACACATTTTTTTTATGCCATTAGGTTACAACATATTCCAAAAATCATTGCCCTTAATATGAGTTGGAAATCGTTATGGATGGTAACGGTGAGACACTTTCATTGTCCTTTTTAAATAAAGGTTCACTAAAATTTTATTGAACTCTGTGCATCAGCATTGCAAGTGTATCCTATAATAAAATAACGGAGAATTTTTTTAAATCTCTCAAATATCCAGTCAGTCTTATTTAGAAATTTATGAGATAGGTGCCCTTACATAATTTTGAAACATTGTATTGTTCAGTCACATTCTGCTTCAATGTAGCATCACAAGCAGCAGTGCTACATTTAAAGACAATGAAAATATAATTTTAGTGTTTTCCATTTGAAAGGAAATTTAATATTTGTACTTCCTCCTAATAAAAATATAGTAATTTATAGTACTGTTTGTCAAAACTAGGGATGATGGAAGAGTATGATCCTCTGCATTCACTGTCTGCCACCATCATTCACAACCCACTCCCTTTTCTTCAATGCTGATATGTCCAAAAATAATTGGGTGACCTGTAGACACTACCATGTGGTGTTCTAGGGTTGGTCATTATTCAAGTATGCTCTTGCTGCCCCAAATGCTGTGAGAACAGCTGTTCCCATGATTGTTCGATTGATGGCCTGCTAGCAAGAAAACAGGAAAGGAGTAAAGGTGAAAAGTTTCAAAAGAAAGAGATGGGAATATGGCTACAAATGACTGAAAAATGGAAACGGGAAGCTAACAAACATAAAAATTAAAAAAGATAGAAAGAAGCAAAAAGGAAGAAACAACAGAAAAAAAGAATTTTTAAAAACCTAAGAAATTAAAGAAAAAAACTGAGGACAAATGACCTATGCAGGGAAACCCCCCACCAGAGAAAAAGACTTTTGATGACACACAGAGATAGCAGTGGCTTAACTTAAATTAGTATTCAGACATTTTTCAGATATTTAAAATTTTAGGAATGACCCTTCAAATTTACTGAAAAATAATCATGTAAGTTTATCTTGCACATTTTATTTAAATAATACAAATAATGTAAGAGACACATAAGCAAAATGTAATTGGTTTAAATAAATTAGTATAAAATTATAGCTTTAAACTGGTAAATGTGTTGTAGCCTGGAGCGCAGAGAGTCCCTTAAAAGGCAGCTTAAAAGCTAACTTAAAAGGTTGTCAAAATTACAAATGGCATCTTAGAGAAAAGTCAGAAAATGGATAAAAGAATAATAAAGAGTGGAATAAGGAAGGATATACATACAAGAATGTTCGTATCTCAAGTACTTTAAATGCCATTGTCCCTAATAACCTAAAAAAACTTTATAAACAAAAGTTAATTAAAATTGAAAGCATTTTTGTGAAAGATACTTAACAAGTAAGAAGAAAGGGTCAATTATTGTAAACACAGTTTAAAATAGGTCAATGAATTTTTGAGATATAGGATATTATCCAGATTGGAATGGTGTGAACATTTCCAAATTAGTCTTGAAAGATATTTGTGAACATTAGTCTAAAGTCCCTGAAATGCCTATGGTTGACATGGTTTACTAGGGCCTGAACCTTGAAAATATTTATGATAAAACTGAAGTTTTTTTCAGTTACAATTTGGGGAGAACCCACTGGAAACACTTGAATCAGATAGGCCATAAAACCATACTCAGAAGTTAGTTCTTCACTAGAACACAGTTTTTCATTTGAACCGGAATTAGAACCAGGACTTAAATGTAATATAACAAAAACTATCTAAGTGAAATGAAATTAATTTCCTCTTTAAACTGAGTTACATATATTTTCTGATCCAAATATAAAATAATTTGAGATAGCTTCCACTAAATGGAGAAAACACAGGAAAGTATGCATCTCTGCCAGGAATTCACAGTGGCTGGATCTCACCTCTGCTGTAACAAGAGAACTCTTACCTTAGGGGAGCTAATTTTCCCTTGTAAAACTTGGCTATAATTGTGTGAGCCAAAATGTAAACTGGTAGAGACAGGTTCCACAACTGGGGAAATTACTGAAAGTGCTATTGCCAAATTCAAACAGAAATGGGGACTGCAAGAATTTTTTCCCTTTATTTTTAGAATTCAGTTATAAGGAGCTCATCTAAAAGGTAACTATTTATGACTTTTATTAACCAGTTGAAAATGGCCTCTGTTGTTTTAGATTTTGTCTCTTGATCCCATGTCAGATTTAGCAAATTTGAGGCAGAAAAAAACACTTGGTATGTCTACATGTGCAATTAATTTGAGGCAATAAACTTTGGAGCAATTTGAGCTGCAGTAAACTACTCCTGAGCCCAGCATCTACACGTGTGCCCAGCACAGCAGAAATATGGGCCAAGGTGGAACAGTTTATGCCAGGGTCACTCAGCTTTGGGCTCCAGGTAGTGGCATTGGGCAGTGTAGGGCCTGGCTTGGGCATGAGGGTGCTGAAAGTACAGTGTCATGTGGCTTAGTGACAGGCAGGAGTCTGGCTTGCTGCTAGCTAGACTGACTGGGTATAATTTACACCTGCAGTCAGCATCTACAGATACATTTAATCACAGAAAATTACCCTTGTGTAATATAGTACTGTCCCTGACAGAACTATTGTACTGAGGCTTTAATTCGTTTTCTGCAGCATAATACTGTCATGTGTATAGATTGTGCTGCTCTAACTGCCAAACATACACACATATACTGTGCATGTTTGATAGGCTATGCACTGGACAAACTCCCCCATGTTTTAGCTCAGTAGTGCCCAATCTTCTGACCCTACAGGATGAATGTGTGGCCTGGGGTGAGTCTGCCAGCTGGTTCCTGTGTCGGTTTGGTGCATAGGTTTGGACTTTGGGCCTATTCCCCCTGGCCCAGTCTGGCCATGTGCCATCCCAATCCTGCACCAGGCTACTCTGGCCATGTGCTGGCCAGATCCTGTGTACCCATATCTGGTCATGCACTGGTATAATCTGGTGCACAGGGCCACATTATTGGCTCACAGGGATCCCCACAAGTCTAGAAATCTGACAGAAAATAGGCAGCAATCACTGATGCTGTTGTTCTGTAAATGCCAAATTTCTGGACCCTTCAGGAGCCTGGTGGGCTGGATGACATAGCTTCATGGGCAGGATCTGGTTAATGTGCCAGAGGTTGAGAACCCCTGTTTTAGCCACATAGGTGAGGTTAGGGGATTCAGAGAAAGCTAGAGACCTGAGTTCTAATCTCACTCAAGCAAAGGATATATAAACCTTCACTGTCCCACTAAAATGCTCAAACTACTAGGCCACTACCCCCACCTCTCCAACCTTTTCCTTGAAACTAAGCTACTGAAGTCTATTAAGTGGATAAAATTGAGGAAATACAATTGGGAAATTTCTGTTCCATTATTCTCCCTTCCAGAGCAAAATCCATCTCTCAAAGATGCTGTCAAGCAAATCCCGGGACGTCATTCTCCCCTTGTACTCGGCCTTGGTGAAGCCGCAGCTGGAGTACTGCATCCAGTTTTGGGCTCCACAATTCAAAAAGGATGTGGAGAAGCTTGAGAGAGTCCAGAGAAGAGCCACGCGCATGATCAGAGGTCAGGGAAGCAGACCCTACGATGACAGGCTGAGAGCCCTGGGGCTCTTTACCCTGGAAAAGCGCAGGCTCAGGGGTGATCTGATGGCCACCTATAAGTTTATCAGGGGTGACCACCAGTATCTGGGGGAACGTTTGTTCACCAGAGCGCCCCTAGGGATGACGACTAGGTTGAACGGTTATAAGCTACTACCAGACTGTTTCAGGCTGGACATAAGGAAGAATTTCTTTACTGTCCGAGCCCCCAAGGTCTGGAACAGCCTGCCACCAGAGGTGGTTCAAGCGCCTACACTGAACACCTTCAAGAGCAAACTGGATGCTTATCTTGCTGGGATCCTATGACCCCAGCTGACTTCCTGCCCTTTGGGCAGGGGGCTGGACTCGATGATCTTCCGAGGTCCCTTCCAGCCCTGATGTCTATGAAATCTATGAAATCTATGAAAACCTCTAGGTTGTGTTCCTCCATCTGGTTCCACTTATCTCCTTTTCTTGGCTACCTAGGGTGTAAGCTTTAAAAAGAGGGCTAGAGGATGGTCTTCATAACACATAATTATGACTTGTGGCGTGATGCTTAGAGCACTCTGATATAAGATTCAGGCTTAATCCCCCTCTGGGAGAGGGGAGGCTAAGCATGGAGATATTAGGGCTGAAATAAGGAAGGGTCTGTCATTGCTGGCCAACTGCTTGTACAGAATTTTGTCCATTTTGTGACTTGTGT